TGACTGCTTGAATAACTTCCAAAAAATCTCCACAAACCTGTGTTGACCTATCTAAATGTAGAGTGCTAGGTACTTGAACTTGGCTTAACTCCATCACTCTACTTCCTAATAGAGCACAGGGTTCCTCCTCCTGCTCTGCAGGGGCACCAAGGTCTTCAAGGAGATGACATCTTATATTATTATGCCTGGTTATAATATGTGAGATGGAGATTAAAGTATCCTCAATGAGCAGTGGAATGTTTTTCATGTTGAGAACCATTCCAAATAATGTCTTTGATATAATGGCCACACCAGCGATCATTACAATGTTCAAAGGCTGATTACAGAGGTGTACACTGTGATATATGAGCTGCTGTCACTTTATCCTGAGGAGGACATCAGCTCCCATTTACCTACTAATCTATCTACTATTTCCACTAATGTCTGTCTACCTGTGAGGCACACATCTTGAGAACCGTTCATCACACTTGTCTATTATTAATTGCCCTGGGAAGTGCAGTATAGCATTTGGTGCGATCTTGGACACACCATTCATTCAATATTAAAAGAATTTGAATAAGTCAGCCACTGGCAACCAATAATATCTGTCCTGCCATTTTGATAATCAGATTATTTTTATAAAATCTATGTTGTGGGTGCTGATCTCCGGCAGTAACATTTTATAGAATCACTTACACTTTAGCAAAATGTCTTCAAACTAAAAGCACAATGTTTGTTATTGTTGCAGCAATGCTTTATATCATGCTGTTTTACAGATCTTTTATTTTGAAAAGTCATGAACTTGGTCTGAAGATTATACCGGATAATAATGTTGATTAAAATGTGCATCAACATTATCAGACCTGCACACATCATCTCTGTATCCAGATATTACACCTAATGACAGACTGCAGCCCTCGTCTTGGTAGAATGAAAGAGGTGTGTGGAGGTGTTTGTTCATTTGACATGTTGCAAATAGTGACGCTCGCTATCAGACGTTCATGATGCTGCATCTGGTTGTGTGATGGGAGTAGTTGTGCGAAGAAAAAAGTAAAAGAGCTGTTAAGAATTCCGATCATGTGCTTTCTCACCTCGACTCACCTGGCTAATAGCTGCACATAGCTGCCATGATCCGATTGGTTGTGTCAGTTAAAAGGTTCACTTAAGTGATTCCAGAATGACTGTAACCAAATTTAATTCCCAGCGCTCACTGTTTGGCAGGTGTGAAAAGGATAAGTACATCATTACAACAACAACAGCACTTTAACTATCTGGCCCAAATATTTGTTTGTCTCATCACAGCAGAATGACTCTTTACTTGAGCTGTGTTCTCAGCTACTTCAGCCATTTATTATTAATAAAGCAAGTTGAAAAGGTTTGATGGCAGGGAAAATGGAACCAAGCTATGAAATACATTTTTATCAATGTAACAACTGATGCTTTAACTTATAGGTTTTCATAAACCTCTCCTCTCAGAGAAGAATCAAATCCAAGTTCAAGTGAGGAAGCAGTGAAGACAGAGCTGATGAAAGTGAAGTGAACGTCTAATCTTTTCCACTGGGCTGCCTCAGATATGTGAAACTTGATGTTATTTCATTTTTTGGCATTTCCATTAAATAGGCAAAAAGAATAAAACGTCCTTCTCCTTCCACTTGCATCACCATGTGTGATTTATCTTACGGTCTACAAACATACAGACCCTCTCATTTCAAACCAACTGTGTCTGACACATATCCACACTCACAGTGAGGCAACGGGTGAGCTCACTGTGTCAGATAATATTCCTGCTGGCATCTGTGAAAATCAGGAAAGAACAGAGATGATGGAAGCAGAGGGAGGAAATAATGCTTTTATCTCAAATCCGTCATCTATTACCCCAAACATTATTTATAAGTATAGGTTTATATAAAACTTCATTCTCACTCAGGGTTCAGCAGAAAAACATTGGAGATTATGTTTCATTTTATTCAACTCATCACTGCCACCCCAAATATATGAAATATACAATCAAAAGTAAAGATCCCGCAGTAAACTGCATTTATGTAAACATTNTGATTGTTTCTATATATCCGGTAAATTATCAACCACTGATATTTCACAAATTTCACCTTCTGTCTGCATCTACCTGCAGCGTTTGTTTGAGATAAAGACAACGAGATTAATACAAGGCACTTGGAAGTTATGGAAATATACATTGTGTTTTAAAAGACATTGATTCAGAGACATGAACAGTGACCCAGAGAACAAAAGTCCTCCTCGATTACTCGATTTTTAGTCACGCTAAAAAGCTGTTTTTCACAAACAGAATACAGCATGTCGCTACGAGGTCTGAACACTGAAGCAGTATTGAGAACAGCAGCCTGATTATTTTCTCTCATCATGTGTAACTCTTAAACTTCCAGTTATTTACCAAAGACAACAACAAACCCACAAAACAATCTTTGCATCCCAGCATGTGATCACATAGCGTCTTTGTTCAAAGAATTATAAAATGTAACAATTCCTCATTAAAATTTCTAAAAACAACCGGACATATGTTTTTGTTGACTTGTGTACTTACAAATGAAACTTGCGCAATAAAGATGCAAAACTAGTGTAACAGCATTATCAGCCCTCATACCAACATGTAAAAATGATTACAAACCAGGTGCAATATCTTTTTTAAGACACATTTGTAAGATGCTGTATTAATCAAGTGCAGATATTATCAACAGATGCTGATTAGAAGAGAAGTTTCATTAAATATGTGTTGGTTTGATTTAAATGCCTAATTATTTCCATGTATGTATTTGATGCAACAGTGTGAAGTGTTTTATACAAAATCGTTTTAGATTTACTTGCTGCAGGAGCAAAACAGGATGTTTGTAAAGTAATTTAATGTAATTTATAGTTTTTTGCTGTCACTCGAAAGTTTTTCACATTATTTCTCATCTTCAACACAACAACTTTATTGCATATACAGCAAACAAACATCTCCGGTCTCGTCTGAGCTCACTCTACGACATATCTCCTGCATTTTCCTCTCCGTTGTCATCAAGCAACCGTCATGGTTTACAACTTACTCTGCATTTTTTTCCCGGCCTTACTCTTTCCATTTCCCTCGGTAACATTTTAAATGTTGTGAATGTCTGTCAAAGGCATGATGCAGGGAAGATTAAACATTTTCATCAGGCTACCATCCAGCAGCTTAAAGCCAGCAGATAGAAATGCACTGTGGATTTTTACATTATTCAAAAAAAACAGATTACTGTGTTCCTGGTACCAAAGGCTGCACCATGGGCAAGTCAAGAAATTATACATTTGCAAGGTGCTGGGTTGCAAAGTGATATTCATTCTTTAAAAAAAACAGCAAGAACAGTTCACCTTCAATCATAAGTCCATCAACCAGCAACAAGCGTGATGACTCATCTCACCACAATGACAGCACACTCCCAGACCTCAAGCCCCTCACCCAGACACATCTGTGCTGAATTACTGCGAGTAACACGACCAGGAACCGAGTGTTAATAGGTGGGTGGGGATGGCAGAATAAAAGAGAGAGGGATGAGTGAAGAGGAAGAGATATAGTTTGATGGAACATTATCTCTATAAACAAATTCTACATGGGAATATGTAGAATATGAAGGTGAGGGGCAAGATGTTGGAGCTGGAAACCCACGTCTGGTTTCTGAACAATCACATTTGAGCAGGCTTTGATGGTTCACAGTTGGTGTAGAGAGCAAAAAGGACAGGTAAAAAAGGGCGGAAACCATTGAAATGAAATACATTGCTATCCGCTTTTAAATTTGTCTTCATTGATATGCAGATAGCCGTTAATAGAGATTAGTGGTCTAGCCCTAAAACACCTAAAAGAAGTAGTGCTGATTGTTTTTTTGGGGGAGAAACATTGGATTTGTGTGATAAAATGAACTAATCAGACTGTATAGGGTGTGAAGAATGGAAGATTAAGTCTTGGCCTTTTTATCCACTGTCTGCACTAGAAGCCCTAAAATATCGTCCATTGCTCCCAGAGGCTGATTTGTGGTCGGACATTAGCCAGTGGACTCAGATCAGAAAGAAAGTGAATGTTATATATAATGTTATGTGTGTGTGTGTGTGTGTG